TCTGTCAGCATATTGGATTGGCTAATGGAGTGGGTGTTGACATATTGTCTAGACTTGTTTGTTTGGTAGAGCTGTTCTATTTGAGGTTTGACACTCTCTCTTGCAACAAACAAGGCTTCAATTAGTCCATCTATCTTGAGTGAGGTGAATTTACTAGGTTTCTCAATACCAGCATCCATTAATGAATACCATAATCGTTGAAGGAATTGCTTGTTAGAAGCTTTGGATTTTATACATGAATCAACGAAGGCTTGTTGGTGATCGTCGGTGGCATCTTTCAAATTCTTCATCTCTGCTAGCAATGCAACTAGTTGCGTATCATCATTAGCAATAATACCATTCTGATTAGATTTGTAGGTAGTGCTAGATGCTGCTTTCTTGGTAGTAGTGCTAGATGCTGCTTCTGCTTTCTTGCTGGTTGTCTTTGGAGGCATTGTTTTTAAATTTTAAAAAAACCACTCAACTCGTTGCTGCTGTATCATTGGTTAGTATTGAGACTCTAAATACAATAAGGGTAGTTGAAATGACTAACAAGCGTCAAGGTAGTAGGCTTGGTTCGAAAAAGACTGATGAAATAATACGAAAGATTAGATCAAATCAATTAACGCCTCTTCAAATTTCCTTATTACTCGGCGTCGATCCAAGTGCCTTCTCCTTTCTAACTCAAGATCAGGCTAATCAACCAGTAATATCTTCATCATCATCACGACTAACTCAGTCATCAAATGGATCATCATCATCATCATCAGCAAGAACATTTCAGCCTCCTCCTCCACCAACTAGTTGTAATATTCATTCATCAACCAATTGCCAATGTTCTTCTTCATTCTCGAATCAAACCCTATCACACAATCAATCTATTCAACAACAACAACAAGCTGAATCAGCATTACAACAAGTAAATGAATCAATCGAAATTGGAGGTGGTTTCTCAGATTCAATGTTCATTGATTATGATGATAACACAAGTTCTCAACAAGAATTCATTGAAAGATTTCAAAGGCTTTCGATGGATAAGATTAA